GAAAGAAACTATTGAAACCAGCTGGGTTCTTTGTGAAAACTAAACACATTTGGCAGCAGCAACTGCTACCCACCCCTATTTATTAATTCAGCATCACTGGGTGTTTTTTTCAGCAGAAACTGCATGTTTAAGGATTTAGGTAAATGGCTGTATTTGAAATAGCACCTTCTAGACTACTAGAGCCCCCCCCCCCCCCCCCCCCCCCCCCCAATGTGCCTTACAATACATTCATTCATCCATTCACACCCTGGTGATGATGAGCTACAGTGTAGCCACAGCTGCCCTGGCGCTCACTGACAGAGGTAAGGCTGCTGAGCACTGGCTCCGCCGGTCCCTCCAACCACCACCAGCAGGTAAGGCGGGTTAAGTGTCTTGCCCAGGGCACAACAGCAGCATTCTATGCTGCGAGTCGGGGTTGATCCTACAACTCTGATTACTGGACAAGTTGCTCTACCTCCTGAGCTACTTCTGCCCCACACATATGTTGCTTTTTGGGGTCTTTAAACCAATGGTCTGGTTGGTTGGATAGATTTTTTAAAAATTAAAACCATATTCCACCTCTAGATGAAATGTAGTCTTCCGTCGCATTCCCCAGAGTTAGATGAGTGGGAAAAGGCCCTTTGTATCCAGCCAGATCCTTCTCCTAATCTGGCAGTACTGTGTTTGCTCACCAGTTAAAACCAGCATCATAACTGAGTAATTTTCAAAACTCTTTTAAACAAAATGCTAGCTGTTAGCGTTTACTTACATTGTTTATGCTAAGCTAAAGCAAACAGAATACTACCAGATTGGAAAAATGACGGGGCTGGGAAACACTTTTTCCCTCTTATCTAACTCTAGGGAATATGGCAACAGACCAAGTTTCACTTAGGGATGGACTTTCCCTTTAAAAAACAAAGTCATGATAAAAAAATGGCATTACATCGGTCATCAGTATTTTTTTATTGGCTGATACTGACATTTGTTTACTGATCTTACGAACTGAAGTGTGACAAAAAGGCAAAAACAGCATAAATCTGTATGTGGGTGAAAACATTCTCCCAGCATCACCTTAAAGTGTCCACCCTGAGACTGGTAGATTGGAGTTCAAATCCCGGTCAGGTCACACCAAAGACTTTAACTTTGGGAGCCAGTGCCTCCCTGCTTGACACTCAGCTTTAAAGGGTTGGATTGGGGGGGTTAAACCACCAAACAGTTCCCGAGTGCAGCCATAGCTGCAGCTCATCGCTCCCCACGGGGGGTGAATTTCACCAGTGTGTGATGATGACTATGGGACTTTTACTTTAACTTTGATCAAAAACCACATGTCCACCGTCATTTCAAAGCTTAGCAGCTGCTTCATCAGCTCACCGTTACTGCCATGGGAACTAGAAATGATATCAACTCCGGCTTTCTGTGCTCCACTCTGCATCCTGTCATTTCTAAAATGTCTCTAGTCATTACCAAGAGGTCAGTGTACATTATATTCGCCGTGTGAGTGCTATAAAATGTTTAACCCAATAAATGACATTCAGTGCAGTGCCATAATCGTTGCCTCTTAATGAATTAAATAGCCCTGACCTTTTACAGTGCAATGCTCATATTTTTCCTGCAACTGCTCCGCTGTTGTCACCCTCCTTTCCTTTCATGCATTATGTTGCTCTCTTGTTCTTGCCCTTGTGCCACTCTTTCATGTGCCTTTTGGCCTCTTGCTCCGCTCGCTCCTTCCCCACTTCCTCCATTGTCTGCTCATCGTTATGCTGTTGCACGCCCTGCTGTCTGTGCAGACAGAGCGGAGAGAGAACAGGCGCAGGGGGGGTTGGGTCGCTGTTTAGCGGCACAGACAGAATCCAGCTGGAGGGTCACAACCTTAAGTGACCATCCACGCTCACAAGCTCACAGGCACGCTCAGTAAGTCATACCCACATTTCCCTGATGGCAGAAGCAATGGGTTATGTGCCAACAATGCTGGAACAGGGAGAGACGGACAAAGAGGAAGAGAGAGAGCAGTGTTTGGAACAAGGAGGATGCCATTATTGTGCTGTTATGGAGGGTGAGGATAACAAAGAAGGGAGGAATGAATGGTTAAAGTTTGGGGCATGGCTGACAGTAGAGGAGCATTTCTGCGTTTGTCAGAATGTCTCCTTTGTTCTGGAATACAAAAAAACTTGGAAATGTGTGAATGCAAGCAGGACAAAGCCAAAAACAAGCACTGAATGAATTTAGTGGCCCTGAAAATGGCACGGCATCAAAAACAGAAACAGTTCTGTAATAAAGATCACCACTTGGGCTCAGGAAGACTTGTGGCAACATTTTCAGAGAAAACAATTTGTGGCAGCATCCTGCATACGAGCAGAAAGAAATGAAACGGGTGCATGAGAAGCATGTCTGGGAGGAAGATCACTGAAATTGGATGCATTTTTAATGTGTCTCACGCTTTAATCAATCAAAATCTGACTTGTAATTCTTAGACACTGTTGGTTATTAAAGTGAATTGCAAGCATTTATTTATTTTTTTAGAGTATAAATCAAAATCTAACCTTTGGAGATATCAGAAATGCAGATTTAAACAAAGGTGAACCCAGAATGAAAATTGCTTTTGTGGCAAGTTTTGCAGGAGGAAGAATGAGAGGTATCTGGGAAGCCAAGGAGCCAACCACTAGCTGAGAGGGAGGAGAACGTGCATGCAGGATTTTTGAAAGATGATTTGAAGGAATGTCAAAACTTCCAGAATTAGGCCTAGTCCACACGTAGCCGGGGTTTTTTTAAAAACGAATATCCGCCCCTCCAAAAACTTGCATCCACACCACCGCGTTTTAAAAACAAACTCTGTCCACACGTACCCGGATAAATACGTTGTTAAGGACATGCCAGACCTGTAGGCGGCAGTACTTCCCCCGTTCTTAACCTCGTCCTTCGTATGTGGTCGTCCGCAAGGAGCAGTAATTCGGCTTGCAAAATCAAACAAGCAGAAAGCGCTTGGACAATTGATGGATCGGATAGTGACAGAGCGCAGCTCTGAGGGCTTCCATGATGCCGGCTAGTGTAAACACAGGTCGCACACATGATGTCAGCATTTTTTTGTCGCGGAAAGTGACGTTGCGGACCTTAAAACTCCGGTTTTGTCCGTCCACACGCAGACACCCAAAACGGAGAAAATGCAGATCTTCACTTTGGCCGGAGTTTTTAAAAAGATCCGTTTTCGTGTGGATGACAGGTCAAAACGTAGAAAAATATCTACTTTTTGGCAGATCCCCGGCTACGTGTGGACAGGGCCTTAGTCGGCAGGTCACACACCCAAAATATCAGCAGAGGAGGCGCATATGAATTACTGTAGTTTTCACAATGGTGCTCAAACACAGCAGTGGCTCTAGAAGCCTTATGAATCTTTCACCAAGCCTGAAAAGCAATTTTTGATTAAACCATAAAATAAGGTTTATTCTTTCCCCCTAGAAATCATAATGATGAATACATTTTCTTCCAATACAAATGTGTTCATCAGGAGATTGTTTACAGTCATTACAGTCTATGAGTTTAACCAGAAACCCGCAGAGCAACAAATGGAAAAATAAAAATGTGTGTGAAGATATGCAGTAAAGCAGTGTTTTCACTTAAAAAAATGGTGTATTTGTTTATTTCTGAACCAATTTTTTCATCCGACTTACTTCCAGAAGTTTCATTTGGCTCTTAGTTCTCTAAAATACTAGATTTTCACCAACATTTCTCAATGGCAACAGCATAGAGGATGTCACTGATGCACTGTTGTGGAACAGAGAAATCATTATTAATGATGAAAATGATAGAAATTAAGATTTTTTTTAATTTTCTGCAAAAAGACACAAAACAATTGGCTTATTTGTAGAAATGTTTAAATGAAAACCTGAATGAAATTATGTTGATTATTATGTTTCACTTTATGCCTCTTTGACTGTTGTTAAACTTCAAATTTTGAAAACGGCTGCTTCTTGCTTTTAGACACTAAAAACCACGAATTTTATAAAATTTGAAAAGTTTTTTCAAATAGGCAAAAATGTGAAAACATATGTAACGTGACTAAAGCGTGTTTGTCCACATTGAGTTACTGAAAACATATCTTCCCAACCTTTGTCAGAAAATATTACGTCATAAAGTACAAGTCTTGAGTTGGTCACACTTAATTTTCCAACTTGATACAGCAGACGCAATCTTTTGAACCTAAACTTGTTTCTAATCCACATCACACTTCATGCAGATAATAACACATTCTCCCTTCAGACAAACACTAAACCCTCTTGTGGACACACACGCACACAGGCCTGTATGATTTATTTATTATTTTACTTTGGCTGTATCAAATTAATTCCTGCAAATTTGCATGGGGCTAATGGGAAATTATTCAGCTTCTGATCTTTAAAGCTTGTCAACATAAAATATCTGGAGAACTTCATCTCCAATGACTAAAGACAACTCCAAAGCAAGCTGAAAGAAATAAAAAATTAATAATAACTGTGGTTCAAAGCTTTAATCAGTGCTATTAAATTTATCTTGATGCTGCGAGGATGCATCAATTAGAGAGAATTCCCACTACCCGTGATTATTTACGCAATAACGGAATTAATGCTTTTGAATTTAATGTTTATTCGTCTGACAAAGATAGTCATGCTGTAATAATCTGTTTAAAGTTGAGGATTAGTCAACAAATAATCACGGGGAAAGGTTTATTAGGACCTACGGCACGCAAGCAGGCGTTACCACGCGAATGTTACTTTTGATGTTGTGCTGAATAAAGTCACCGTGCTGTGAAATAACCCGCAAGGTCCTAGCGTGCCCAGGAAAGCCCAAATCCTTGCCTGTTTATATCAATAAAAAAATAACTACGAGTCTCGTTATTTTAGTTAGATATACAGTTTCATGAAACATTAGTCGTTACGGGACCTTTCAGGTTGTTTAACTTTAGGATAAAAACAGATTTAAATGCCCTTCCTGGGACGATATTCACGGCAGGGCCGCCCTGTCGCACGAGCGGTTGCCATAGTGACGACATTCCCAACAGAAGCGGTTTGAGCACTGGGTTCGGAGAAAACGCTAAATACTGGACCCTGGAAAAAAACTGGAAAAACAAGTGAACGAACCATTAAACTACGTTTATATTAACGTTCGTTGTGAATCTAGGGCCCATTTTTACGGTGAGTAGCTACGTTGGTGAGTTTAACCATTTCCAGCATAACCAAACGATAACTCCGCTGGTTATAAATGACATTAATTAACCCAGGCTGTGTGCTTTACGGCTACATGACAGATTATTACAACATGGTCTGTATTTGTTAACCTGCTGGGATCGTAAATGTGTCTTCAAGTATTTTTCTTAAATGTTTAGTAAGTATATATATATATATATATACACACACACACACACACACACACACACACACACACACACACACACACACACACACACACACACACACACACACACATATATATATATATATATATATATATATATATATATATATATATATATATATATATATATATATATATATATATAAAGATGGAAGACATGTTTATGATGAAGTTTATTGGTTGCAAATTACCTGAATATTCTCAGCTTCACCCAGGGAAGTTCTACATATTTTATTGACATTTTTACAGGGAGTCATATTTAACCATAGCATTAAAACCACCCTGTCAGGGTGTTTGAACCTCAGGGTTTTGACCACATGACCTTTGGTGATTGGCTCTGAGACAGATCAGCTGACTGAATCCTGTGGGATTAAAAGGTGGAGCACTGGTTTATTGGGGCATATAACTCCCATGAACACACAGTCTGACTGAGGAGTTCAGAGATCAGGCTCTTTGGCTTCTGATGAGTTTTTGCAATAAACTTTTTCCCCCACCAGTTACCTGCAGGGTCATCTACCTTGCTTCTAAAAAGCTCAAAGTTTATATTTTTAAATTGATTATTAATATTTGAACCATTCATAATTCATATACATCAGTCAATTACATTTTAAATATATGGGTAATTTATTAACCTTACCTTTACTCTCTTCATCTAATGCTCTTCAGCAATTTTCTCATTTTGCTCCAGCACTGTTCACCCTGTGATTTACTCTGAGCTGTGCATGATCACCGGTTTTATGGCATCACTGTCTTTTTCTTTTTTTTACAGCAGGAGAGCCCCCCTTTTTCTGTAAAGCACAGCGAAACACACAGGAGAACTACCCAATTACAGGAAAAGAGAAGTATGAATTTAAATGATTTTGTGGTGCTTCCTAACAGCAAGGCCAGATCTGTCAAGCCCAATGCCAGGTAAGATAAGATCAATAATGTGATTTAAGGTATTTGGTGGTAGCCCATTTGCATTCCTTGACTGCCTTGCAACTCATCTACCTCTCATCTGTAGCCATTCAATTTTTATCTAGAGAAGGCTGTTTTATAAAATGGGCTTTCAAAGCTAATGCCGATGAGCTGGATTCAGCAATTGTCGGTGCATGATCCTCCTCAAAATCATTTAAAAGGTCGATCTATTAATCAAAATATGTTTTCTACTTGTTATTAATTCAAAAATTTTCATTCTGTTCCAATATTAATTAAAAAATTCCCTTTAGAATATTTCAGTTGATTCCTGGCTTAATAATCCAGATCTAAACATGCATAGATGAAAATCTGACCCTCCATACTGATGGAACAGGTGATTTTTATGATTGATTGCTGTCGATTGATTGCATTTATGCATTTTTTGTTGCCGTAGAAACCTGCAAAAGCTGCAAATGGACACGGTTACTCTCGCCAGTGAGAGCAAGGAAATGGAAGACAAGCTGCTACAGCTGAGAGACAACATGAGTAAAGAGAAGGAGGAGAGAAGGTGAGTGTTACAGTCCTTGAAGGAAAGCACAGTGAGCAGAGAAAGGTGGAGAGAAGCGAGTTAGTGCAAGTTTTAAGTAAGGCAGCAGAGCAGACAGTAAGGGAAAGTTGTAGTAGTAATGTGCCCGATTGATGCAGAAAAGCACAGAGGGAATGAGAGGTTCATATTTCTGCATCAAGTTTAAGCTCAGGCCTTCGATACAGACCATGCCTTGAAGATCAAGACAAAAAAGAGGGTCAGTTTGGCTGGAACTCAAAGTGGCTTTCCGGAGGAAAAGCTTTTGTTGTAGGAAACTAAGATTTAGGGACGGATCTCCTCTAGCTACAACAAACTTGGGTTATAGTGTAAATGCATGGTCATGTTTGATTTCAAGTCAACCTTCATGTTCTCTTTGATTCACTTTCTGTCATATATCCTTCCAAGCTAATAGGACTGACATGTTTGTGTGTACTGATTATAATAGTCCTCCCACTCTTTGACGGGGAACCGTTTTGCTGCTGTAGTGTTTCCTTTCACAGGCAAATGATCTGATTGACGTTAATTATTGTCATACAAAAAGTTGGGACATCCTACCTTTCTTTAACCTCTGATGGAGGAGGAGCCTATGGGATGGTGTGGGGTTATAACTGTGGCTGTTTCTCAGTACCCAAGGATGCTAGTACATTCTCGTGTACTTGACAAGTACTGTATGTTCTTGGCAAGTACAGCTGAAAGTCTGTATGGGAGGACAAGGATGCCATTTGGAACAGAACCATCACCGTTGTCTCATTGCAAGAAGCACTGCTTGTTTCTATGTTTAACGACCTGACATTAAAAAAAGTCTAAATTGTCCTTTAAGTAACAAAATAACAATGAAAACACATTATTTGTATAATATTTGTTTCACTTTTGATCACAGTTAGTAAAATGCCAACATTTCCCACAGTTAAATGAGAAAAAAGTTTATTTTTCATCAAAAAAAAAGCTATTTAAAGCAATGCTGCTTTTATTTGGATAGTGGGTTGGCTAAATAGCCTTTTGAGGTGTCACAAAGAGTCTGAAAAAAAAAACAGAGCACATTTGACATGTTACGGCATTACAGCAGCATGGATACTTAGAGAAAAGGAAGAAGGAAAAATAACCAAAGTACAGGTAAATACACAAAGGTAGTAGGGGTTGTATCAACTAGTCGACTAGTCGACTTCACTGCTCTGTAGTGACTTTTATGACTAGTTGCTGTCACGTGATAATGACCGACAAGATGCAGTCCTCAGAACCGACAGCAGGTGACAAGCCCCTGTGCGTCGGGAGGTGACGCGCTGTGCCAGAGCGTCAGTATGACGCCTGCGGTAAAACGGACATTTGACCGAATTGTGATGTTTACCCTCTTGCAATTTAACCTTCCCCTCACCCACATCCCAACCTTAACCAGCTTGCACATGCAAAGCTCTGATCGTTGACACGCTCCAGACATCTGTGTCCTGAGCACGGCCACAGTAACATTATCAAATTAGGTGTCGCCACCTCAAAAACTAATTTAACCCGTGATCGTTCATGTCGGCTCATTTCCTTTTATGTTTTCTGTCTTTTATTTGTACCTGATGTGTTTCGCTGCTGTGGAGCGGGGCGCATCACCTGTTTTGTCCTCTCGTGATTTCACCTCACAGGTGCGGCCGGCGCGCACTCCGCTGTTTTTGCGGCCGGTAGATCTTTTAGAACTGCAGTTCAAAGGTAACTCATAAGGTGAATATATATGAAGCCTGGTAGTAGCTTTTCTTTAGGATTGCGAGGAGATGCAGGAAGATAATAAACAGGCAGGACAGAAAAATAGTAAAATAAAAACAAGTTAGTTTTTGTACCTGGTGGTAGCAACAAACAGACACCATTGAAGGTAATCAGAAGTGAGGAACAGAAAATGAAATAATTATTTTAATGTTTAGAGCAGCAGGAACTCTGAGAGGCTGCAGGCGCATCAGTGAGTTTGCGGCCGCTGCGCAGGGGGAGGGGGGAGAGGGCCGAAGCAGAAACTACCGTTGTTAAAAGAAATGTGTTTAACTTTGAAAATGTGGGCGCAATTTTAATTGTCAAAAACTTCAGCGAACCAACCCGCTTCAGATAATGATGTCATCAACAACTAGACAAAGTCGACTCGATTTTCATTACTTGACTGTCGACTTAAAAAAAATGAAGTCATGCAGCCCCTAAAAGGTAGTAAGCTTTGATTGTAACAAATAAAAAGAAAACATATGCAGCATAAGGGACACAGACATACTAATGTACATCTGAAATTGCACATACTTAATTTTTATTTATATGTTGATTTTATAGGAACAGTACATATTAATGACTTTCAACAACAACTTGTATCAGTAAATATGCCAGATTGTAGCACCAGTAGCTTATTTACATCTGTAGTCCCTAGGCAGGAGATAAAAGCAATAGAAGAAAGCAATGTATTATATTTTAAAACTAGGAATCTCTGAAAAACAGAAAGAAAACACACAACACGTCACTGTGAGCACAAACTACTGATGGAAACAGTTTGGTTTTCATTCAGCCAGTGTTTAAGTTGGATTTTGAAGGAACCATTGTCATGGAATTGGAGGTTTTATAGGACCCAAAGTGCAGGTGAATCCAGAGGCAGCCAGGTATGGTTCAAAAAGTAAAACTGTTTTATTTGAAGCTGTAGTCTGGAGCAGGAACATGATGACAAAAGCATGAAGAGCCAAAACAAACGCAGGGATGCAAACAAACATAAACACAAGGAAGCAACAAAGAGCAATGGGCAGAGCTGGGCTTAAATATACGTAGGAGGTGAGTGGAGACAGAACAGGTGTCATGATAACAGATTACAATAATGACCGGACACAGACAAACTGAACTGGATAAAACAGAACACCGTAAACTAAGATGAAGCTAGAACTGAAAGACTGAATGAAGTAAACGACGATAATAATCTTAACAGAACAAAACAACAAAAAGCAAAGGGAGTAAAGGTAGGGAAAATGAAGACTTGGGCAAGAAGAGAAATTACTGGGAAATGAAATTAAACACAGGGAGAAAACGGATGCTGGGAAGAAAGTGAAAAAGAATAATGGGGCTAAATATATACAGAAGTTAACTGAGGAAGAATAAACAACTATAAGAAAACAACTGCTAAGGAAACATGGGGTCAAAGGTCACTATTACAAAAAGATACTAAACAGGGACTTGACAATACTAAAGCCAAACAAGGATAAGGGGTCAACTAAAGAGAAATAAAATAATGCTAAGTGGCTGGGGAATAGGACATGGAGTGAGAAGCCCGAGTGAAGACTGAGGGGTATGGCAGGGACAGGGAGGACATGGAGAGGACATGACGACTGTATGATTGTAAGTCTCTTTTGCTGAGTGGTAGACCATTCCAGTATTTAGTCACATTAACGAATAGTGTGGTCTTTCCAAAAGCAATGCACCTGTAAGGCACCTTACAGTCTCCTCTAACTGTGGCCCTGGTGGACATTCCACTTGTATACTGAGCACATGCTGAATGAAACGCACTGATGTTATTGTGTACCAGGATAATGCCAGTACCAGTTAAACTGAGGTGTCAGACAGCAGAGGGGATGAATGACCTATGGTAGCGTTCTGTTTTACATCTTGGATGTCTCAGTCTGCCACTGAAGTAGCTGTCCATGGCCTTCACAGTAGGGGTTGCATGACTTAATTTTTTTTTAAAGTCGACAGTCAAGTAATGAAAATCGAGCCAACTTCGACTAGTCGTTGATGACGTCATACACCTGAAGCAGCGGGCGGGGTGGGTGGGTGGTGGGGGTGGGGGGGGGGGGGGGTCGGTAGGTTTGCTGGAGTTTTTGACAATTAAAATTGCATCCACATTTTCTAAGTTAAACACATTTCTTTTAACAACGGTAGTTTCTGCATCCTACTTCAGCCCTCTCCCCCCTCCCCCTGCGCACCGGCCGCAAACTCACTGATGCGCCTGCAGCCTCTCAGAGTTCCTGCTGCTCTAAACATTAAAATAATTATTTCATTTTCTGTTCCTCACTTCTGATTACCTTCAATGGTGTCTGTTTGTTGCAACCACCAGGTACAAAAACAAACTTGTTTTTATTTGACTATTTTTCTGTCCTGTCTGTTTATTATCTTCCTGCATCTCTTCTCAATCCTAAAGAGAAACTGCTACCTGGCTTCATATATATTCACCTTATGAGTTACCTTTGAACTGCAGTTCTAAAAGATCTACCGACCGCAAAAACAGCGGAGTGCCGCTGCTCGCTGGCCGACTACGGGACCATTTTTGCTGCGGAGTTCGTGCCGGAGTGGAGCGGAGCGGAGATAGTGGAATTTTAGGGGTGCGTCACCGGAGAACAAAACAGGTGAAGAGCCTCGCTCCGCAGCAGCGAAACGCATCAGGCACAAATAACAGACATAAAACATGAAAGGAAATGAGCCGACATGAATGATTGCGTGTTTAATTTGTTTTTGAGGTGGTGACACCTGATTTGGCGGTGCTCAGGACGCAGCGCGTCAACGATCAGAGCTTTGCATGCACAAACCGGTTAAGATTAGGATGGGGGTGAGGGGAAGGTAAAATTGCAAGAGGGAAAAGGTCACAGTTTGGTTAAATGTCTGTTTTACCGCCGGTGTCAGTACCGACGCTCTGGCACAGCGCGTCGCCTCCGCCTCCCGACGCAGGGGCTCATCACCTGCTGGAGGACTGCATCTTGTCAGTCATTATCACGTGACAGCGACTAGTTGATGACAGGCATAAAAAGTCACTACAGAGCCGTGAAGTCGACTAGTCGACTAGTCGACTAGTTCATACAACCCCTACTTCACAGTGGAATGCAGTGGGGGGAGGGGTTTTCCAAGATGGAGGTCATCTTCACCAGCATCTTCCTTTCACACATCTCCTCAACAGAATCCAGAGGGCAGTCCAGAATCAACCTTGCTTTTTAACTAGCTTGTTCAGTCTCTGTCTGTCTTGGTCAGAGCTGTCCGCACCCCAACAGACCACAGCA